GCTCACACCTGCGAGTTACTCTTCATCCTCCGATGCTCAGCAGGCTCCTAATTGCTTCAGCTGGGTCTCCGTCTCCTCACCGCCAGCTGGGTCTCAGCGTGGGGGTCTCTCCTCGCTCCCCTCTTCCCTGCGCCACGGGAACTGGTGCTGGGTATCCCTCCCCAGCAGGCTGAGGCAGCAGCCCCAAGTCTCTGTTTCTCCAGGGTGCATCGACATGCTGAGTATAGAGGGGCAGTTCACTTTCACAGCGGACCAACCGCAGCTGCACTGCGCGACCTTCTTCATCGGGGAGCCCGAGGAGCTCATCACGATAGACTACGACTTTGTAAACATCGACTGCCAAGGGGGTGATTTCCTGAAGGTAAGAAGCTGGCGAGTCCTGCTGCCCTTCCCTTTCCCTGCTCTCATCTGACGTGTGAGGCATTTGCTACGTGTGGAAGGGGCAGGCGAATGCGTGTGCGCACGAGAGAGTGTGTGTGTGTGTGTGTGTGTGTGTCTGTGCAGAATAGGCTTTCACAAAACAGCTGCCCCTGGGATGGCTGTTCCTCCTCCCTGAGGCACTTTGGGCATGTGTGTCCCCCCCATCACCACCCCTCTAAAGCAAAGTTGGATGCAGGCTGAGGATCCCACTCCACACTGCAGCACTGGTTCTTCTGAACTTTTCCAGGAGCACTTCTGAGTGTCCATACATGGGGGACCAACTGAAAAGTTTGGTCAGTATGAGCCGAGCCCCTCAGCCCCGTTGGGAGGGTTTTCTCATTGCACCATGAATCACACAAGCCACGCAGATAATGACACAGCTCTCTGAACGGCTGTTACAGCTCCAGGACCTCCGCTCACAGGTCACTTAGCATCAGCTTATTAATGAGTGGATTGTTGCAGGCTTTCTTTCAAATCGCCCCGTTAGAGCTTTTCAGGACATTGGCTCTGAACAGAGAGAGCTTCATGACTGAGAGCCATTTATATTCCAGCATCAAAAAAAACTTTACCAGCACATTTTGCTGGCAGGCAGAAGCATTGACCAAGATCTGAACTCGGTTCAGGAGAGAAGGGGAGGTTCGACGGCCCCTTGCACTCTGCCCGTTGTGCTGCGGTGGCTGTGCACAGCACAGACCCCATCCCACCCAGCGGCGAGCTGAGCTCCCGGGTGGAGGGGGAGGAAAGCTGCCTTTCAGTCCTTTCCTTGTCTCCCTCTCTTGGAAAGATGCTGTCCCTCTGTTTGCTTTACCCTGGGGAATCCTGTCCCTCCATCCCATAACCCTGGCTGGGATGTCTCCCCACGTTGCTCCAGGGATGCTGATTTCAGCATCTGTGGGTCCAATGATTTTGTACCTAGACTTACAGCCTCATATGGAGGCTAGAAGAACTCTGAGAGACTTTTGAAGCTTTACAGAGATTTCCTTCCTTTGATCATGGGGTCCCCAGTTTCTGCATTATACTATTGTATTTATACAGGCAGCTTTTCCCCGGTGTAATTTGAGCACCCACGTCTCATTACTTCAGAAAATTTACAGCTCTGGCAAATCCAGAGACTGATGCTGCAGCTTTTCCATGAGGAATTCCCACACATACTCACATTAGGATTACTCACTGAGGCGATAGCAGGATCCGGTCCTTGGATTTTCAAAGTATCGACTCAAGTGTAGAAGGAATTAGTGGGTGAGAGTGGCTAGGAGGGAATTGAGACAGCAAGGCAGGCAACCACACAGCTGTGCTAGAGTTAATACAGATTTCTAGTTCTGACACGTTTGTGACACATTTCCCTGATAACGGTGAGGGCAAATTGTTGCTATTTTTATTGTGAAGGGAAGATTTGTAAAGGTTGCTGCTTAAGGTCCAGCCAAGTAGGAAGCATTTTTTCTGCTTTCTAGTGGTCAGGACAAGCCGATATAGCAGACAGAGAAGAGAGCAATACCTCTGCCAATAATTCCTCCCCGAAGCTTTATCGTATTCCAATACCTCTGGAAGGCCTCCGGGCCCATTAATGACAAGCTGCAAAACACGGATGGTGGAAAATTACAGGCCAGATCAATAGACTTAATTCCCAGAGTTTGAAAGGGTAACTTAAGTTTCATACTGCTTCCAAATCAAGCTGGTCAAAAACTTCTCTTAGTAACAATGAGATTGCAATAGTAATAAATAATGAAATAAAAAAACTATGCAAAAGTGATGATGCTGGAGCAAAAAGAGTTGCTTCCCTCAAAAACAGGTCATGAAAATTGTCACCTGAAGGAAATAAAGACCACATTAAAATTTGCATGTGTCCCTTTCCTAAATACAGATTGAAGCTTGAATAATTAGTTAAATGCTAGGAAATTGATCAGTACAAAGAATTTTTGTTTTTAATTAGTGATTTTGAACAGGCCATCTGGTGTCAAAATAAAACACTGTCTGTAATACTTCATGTTTCTATTCTCAGCTAACAGAGCAATAAGCAAAATCCTTATTTTCATATATTGAACCCCTGTAGGTATTTGATGGCTGGATACTCAAAGGAGAGAAATTTCCCAGTTCCTTGGACCATCCCCTCCCCACTTCCCAAAGATATGTAGACTTTTGTGACAGTGGAAATATTCAGAGGAGCGTCAGGTCATCGCAGAACGTGGCGATGATCTTCTTCCGGATCCACCAGCCAGGCAATGGATTTACTGTCACAGTCAAGAAAAACACCAACCTCTTTCGTAAGTCTGCATTTTTATACCACCAAATGGGCTTGTGTTTGGGGCAGGACGCAAAATGAACACGTTGGTTTGCATTGAATTCTCTCACTGGTGTTATCTGCACGGACAGAGCTTCGGTAATGGCAGTGGAGCCAGGCACACCTGCATGCCTGAGGATTTGACTTGGGCTCAGTGAGTGTCTCCAGAAAAAGTAAGAGAAGTGTAAGAGATAACTCAGGCATGACTGCAGTGTACAGGACCAGAAGGCTCTTTCTTTCAAAGAAGATCTCTTCCAGTCTAGTATTGTCATGTTCCAACACATTTGGCTAGAACAAATAGTATTTATCTAGAGAGTTTAATCTCAGCAGTTTCTAGATCTGTGTGAACAATGAGGAAAAAATATTTGAAAAAGTTCAACAGCAAAACTAGTGTATCGAATTGTTATGTGATAGTTACGAGTGATATATGATCCTAAGGATCTATTTGCAAGTTATTTCCCCAAGCCTGTGAAATGGCAAGGCACAAATGACGGTCACTTGCGTCGTTTTTCCAAGAGGCGACAGAACATTTAACAATTATTATTCGGGTCAGTCTGATTTATCCACCTCACCATGCAAACGGTGAAGATGATGGCATGTCTGCCCTGTCCTTACTATGAGCTCTTTAGACACAAGCCTGCACGCTGAGTCTCCACGCTGGTGTGGCTTCATGCCTGTGGATGTGATTATTGCATGCAGTTGCTGGTGGTGGCTTGTGTCCTTCACTGGCCTGCTGAAGCAGCTGCAGACCTCCAGGTCTGTGTGGAGGATGCCTTGGGTTGCACATGCAGATGATAAACTACTCCCTCACCTGAACTGTTAAGATTGAGCTTTAAGATAAAATCAGCATGTACACACTCTAATTTCAATGGGGTGTTTTGCGGGGTAAAGAACTCCAGTTAAGAGGAACAGAATAGGACTTAGGGGTTTGCTGACAATACCAGATGATAACCAGTCAAAGCTAAACAAAAGCGTTGCATCCATATTTAGCCTCCTTCAAACTGGCAAACAGTACACGCGCCCGACAACATAAGCTCCTTCTGTATGGATTTGGGGTGTGAGCTCTCCCATTGACCACTTCACCCTCAAGTCCTGCCAGACCTCATGCTACACAGTAAGCAATGGACAGGGAATTTTTAGGGAACAAATGTTATGCAAGAATCCCAGAAAATGTCATATACATATTTTTTAGCATTTGGTTGTAACTCTCAGTAATTAAATCATCTGTTCTTTGTTAGTACTGAAATTACATCATTTTGCTACATGCAGTGATGACTACACAAGTAACTCTTGTACCTCCCGTCCACCAGCTTGCAATGTCATCTCTCAGACTCCCTCGGGAAGGTTTACTATGGTCATTCCTCATCAGCACAGAAACTGCAGCTTCTCCATAATCTACCCAGTGGTGATAAAAATATCTGATCTTATCCTGGGACATCTAAATGGCCTCTTTTTAAAGGTGAGTTGTTTGTTTCCTAAGAAATTACTACCATGTGCAGTTTTCCTGGGCATGGGAGAGGGAAGGGGGTGAGGTGGGGATAGCCTGTGAGTGACACTGGCTGCTAAGGCACGTACACCCCTGACCATGTGCGTGCACGCTGAGGGCTCTGGTTTCCCTCCAGAGATGAGAGCGGGGTCTGTCTCTGTCCTGTTGTCTCTGTAATGTTACAGAGGCAATCAAATTATGCAAAGTACCATTAATGCATGTAAATATTGCTTGCCATAACAAAGGGTAAGAATTTCATTAGGAAGAAAGGAGTGCTCTCCCAGGGAGCTGTCTGGATGTATTTAAACTAATGAAAGCAGGAACTGCTCTGAACAGAGAATGGAGACATGGGTTAGATAGTGAGGTATTAGCATGAGAAAATACAAACGTGCTCACAGCTGATTCCCTGCTCAGCATGCTGAGCATCCTCTGCTCCATCTGCTCTGACGCCCAGCACGGGGCTGGGGTTTAGCCACAGCATTTGGTGTTTGGTTAGAACCAGACAGGAGAGGACAAGAGCTGTTGGTGGCACCCTGTGCCTGGAAGGTGTAAGAAGGTGCAAATTCCAAAATATCCACAAGGATAGGAGCAAGGAAGTTTTTTTTCTGCTGCCAGTGAGACTGGCAGCCTAGGTTCTTCACAGGGACTGCCAGCATCTGAGCAAACCAGGCTTTGAGATGGGCAAGTGAGTTGACATATTCAGCAGTGGGTAGACAAGGGACAACAGCAAAAGGATGATAAATAAATTAGGCACTTGAACAGCAGCATAGGGGTGACAGCAAAAAGGTGCACAAGGTGTTCATGCAAGAAGATTTTGGCAAACAGCATTAATTTTCACAAAAAGAACACCTGGGAGTCTAATATACACTAAGCCATTGTTGTCATGCAAAACTACTGTTTTGGTTAATACTTACCTTAATTAAATTTTGCCATAATAGCACATTTTAGCAACACTTATTGCTTGGGAATAAGTATGGTTTAGTGGAATTTAAGTTCTTGCCTGACAGCTTAATGTGGGCACACGTGCAGCCCATGCCTGTACTAATTTGATTACATGTCTAAGCATCCAGAATCAGATTACTTATCTGTGTTAAAAGTAGTTGAATCAACACCTTAACTACTTCTCAGTAATGTTCAGAGCCTACTTTGGTCTTTCTTTGGAATCCCTCAAGGAAAATTAACTGACTAATGTCAAATTGAAGTAGTGTTGCTCAGGATGAGAACAGCCTCATTACACACCGGTTTGAGGACAGAGGACTGTTGGCTGCAGTCATGTGTAGAGAACTCTTACCTTAATAAATAATATAAATACGATAAATGATAAATAACTTTTAATGTCTGCCTTTTTAGAAACCATCAGCAGGCTGTGCAGGAGTGGGAGATTTTGTAGAGCTGCTAGGAGGAACTGGCTTAGACCCATCCAAGATGTTTCCACTGGCTGATCTCTGTCACTCCTTTCATGGGTCTGGTAAGAACTCCTTCTTCCACTTACCTCCACATGATAAAAAAATTAACCAGGGGGAGTCATGCAGAACACCCCAAACCCAGATTTCATGTTTGACTGGTGAACTTCATGTGTAGCAGAACATGAGAGCTAAAGCTATTGGAACCTGCAGCTGGGCTGTGTGATACAGCATACCCACAACCATCTTCACTTGCCCCTGCCTTGATCATTATAACAAGGTTAAGTTATATATATTTTTCAACTGCTTGTCCTATGACACATATGATTATTAGAATGTCAACAGATAAACGAGTCTGGAAATTCATAACACATGAAGGCAGAGCAGTTCCATTTTCAGTTAAGGAGTTTTTTCTCACTTACTCAGTGTTTCCAAAGCCTCCTTTTCTGCTGCAGGAGTAACACATACTCCAAAAGCCTCAGAGCTCCCACTCTCTAATTTGAAACCTGGAGAAACTCTGAACCTATTTCACTATCATGCCAGGTCAGTGACCTCTTTGTCCGCACGAAAATAAGAATTCCTAGTTTCCCAAATACTGTATACCTCAGGAGTATGAACGGGTACACCGAAGAAGCGGTGTTCTGGCAGGGTTGGAGAGCAGGAACATGCCTGGCATTTCACCCCTGTGGTCTCCCTAGCCTTTCCTCACACCACAACTTAATGGTCCAGGCACTGTTTAAAGCTTTAACTGGCAAGCACTGTGCTGAGTGAATATTGAGCACTGTGAAGACATGAAAATATGCTTTCCTGCTGGTGTGAAGGAAGGGAAATCCCCCACTCTCCCACCAGATTTCTCCTACAGTGAGGAAGGTGCTCCAAGTTCTCCAGATGAAGCAGGCTTTGCCAAACCCCTGCTCAAGTGGCTCATCTAAAGCAGTGGTTAGTGATGACACGCTTGATTTCCCCGAGAGTGAGGCCATATGCTGGGCACTGCCATTTGAGTTTGTCTTGCTATGACCCTCACATGCCTGTTACTGTGGAGAACCTCCTTATGCACAAACCCACTCACCCCTCTAACAGAAAACATTTCAATATTGTTAATTTTTGATATCTCCAGGATAGGGTGCCATTACACCTTACCCATTGCTCACCTTTCCAAATGCAAACATGTACAGACCTCTGCCTCTTGTCTGTCTATACATACCTGAGACTGTGGGTGGATGGGGAGTGAGTGGCATTTGCGTGAGTGAAGGTTGCAACACCTGATTAAATACCCATGCCATTGTAAAGTAAAACTAACAAATACAAAAGGAGGTGTTTAGTCAGCAATACCACCACCTCAGTCATTACTACATTGCATTGTTTCCAAAATTGTATGTATCAGTGGTTTGTAATTTCCAACACTATCTTCTTTCCCTCACCCTCACATAAGTGTATCTTTAAATCTCCTCTATATTTCTTTTCCCTAACTAGCCCAAATGAAGATTGGCTGTGACAATACCGTGCTGCGAATGGTCTCCAGTGGCAAACACATCAACCGTGTGACATTTGAGTATCATCAACTTGATCTGCAGGAAACAGAAAACAGAAAGGAGAACAGCATTGAGGAATTCTGCTTTCCCAGTATCTGAGATACCAGGCCACAAAATTTCACGTAGCTAATGAAAACAAAGTTCTGGTGAATTAAAAAAAAAAAAATTCCTTTAACCAGCTGGTATTATCAAGCCTTTCTATGGTACAAGCATATTTCTTTTTTCATACAAATCACTCATTCCCATGAGCAAGCAGGAAAAAGCAACCTATATATTAACCTTTGTTATTATCATAACATTTTTTTCTGCAGTATTTAAGCTCATTTACCACATCCAAAATCAATAGCAAGAACAGAAGGCTATGTTTTCCATAGAAATATTATTAGGAAAACAGACACGCTCTGTGTATCTAGTCTGAGGACATATGAAACCCACAATAAGTATAAACTTCATGCAGCAACTTTATCCTTTTATATCAAGTATAAACAACAACAAAAAATAGATGGTGGAATACACTTCCAGTTTTGTAAGAGGAAACCCGGCATTAGTGTGTGCGAAACCAATTAGTTTGTTTATGACTATAAATGTACTATTTATTTCTAATGACATGTTTTTAATAAAAATTTATAGCATGGAAACTTCCTTACACAAATCCAAACATGAATAAATACATTCAAAGAGTTGGCAAAACGTTGTTATGTTGTATTTTTTTCTGAAGAGCTCTTTTAACATTCTGGTTAAATTTCCTAGGTCTTGTGCAGTTTTCTGGAAATGCCAATTTTGAACATATGTTGCTGTAAAACTGTGGACTATTAAAGTAACGTTATGGGCAGAAATTTGGTTTGCCAATGTTGCATACACCATCTCGTGGTGTACACTCCAGCTGTACACTTACTAGCACCTTCCCTGTTTAAGGCTTTTGGTCAGGTGTCCTGCTGGCCCATGGAGGCAGGGATACACAAATGTAGATTAATTTTTTCCAGACCTTTGGTAACCCAGCAGAGGAGTGTAAGCCTGGAAGGCTCTGCACTGGAAGGCACAGTGCAGCAAAGGACCAGAGCTGTGTCCTAGCTTGGAGGGAGGTACATGGAATCATTTGTATGTTTTCCGGGAGGGCTACCTGGCCGTAACAAGAACAAACTGTTCCTCCTCTGATATTCAATTAATGGTCAACATTGATTAATCCAGCCACATGCCTGAGATCTTCAGCACTGATTTCTGACTCTTAATCTCATAGTCAGCCACCAACAATCAAGTGTCTTGAATATTCAGCAGCTCTGAAGTTAATCCCCCCCAGCTGAAGCCAGTGAACACTACAGGATGCGTCAGAATCTCCCTCCGCAAGGTTTTGGGAGCCCAATTTTGGTGACTGACTTATGAACAGAGGGCTGTGGTTGGCAGCCTGGTCAGACTCAGGCAAGTGTGCCCACATTGCAGGGCTGTATTTATGGAAAAGGTGGGATTTGTGGAGATGTTTTGCTTTGTTCAAAAAAAAAAAATCAGACAAAACCACTGCTGGCTGCCCCAAGGCATGGAGCAGTCCTGGCTCAGGGGTCTGACTGGGGGTTCTTGGCCACCACATCCCTGCTCCAGCCCCATGCAACCCACCGTGGGCTTCAAGGGCCCCTGGTGCAATGATGGCAGTTCTGGCATGGCCACCCAGCACCAGAGACATCAAATCAGGGAAAAAAAAGATCAGGGCTTAATGAAACAGCATTTTGCCTGAAGAAACTCACAGTGATAGAGGATCTCTGTCCCCAACAACTCCCTCATCTTATCCTTTCTGGGTGCCTGTCACTGTCAGGGCGGCTCTAACCACGTCCAGTCCCACCAGCCTTTCCTGGGCACCCTTTGGTGAACCAGGGCAGGTTTCTGGGTTGGGCAGTTTGGGAACAAGTTCGGAGGCTCCCATACCTATCTACATGCCTACCTTCGAACTCAGGAGAGAGAGAGGTCTTTAAAATGCTGTTTCTTGGTCACTAAGAAACATGGGAGGAGTGGAAACATCAACAGATTTCGGGTCCTACAGCTCAAGACTAAATCACCAGTGAAGATAAACTCACAATCTCTTGCTTTGTGCAGTTTCATAGTGGGATTTCCCACCTTTCAGCTTTATGTGGTACTTCTTTTTTCAATCCTAACATGACCTAAATACCTCCAAAACACCGAGGCCCTATAGAAAAGACACTTAATGTTCAGAGATTTGAGATTTCTCTTTCCACGGTACACAGAAGTGGACTCTATTACTAAGAACACTTACTGTTATAGATGGAGGAGAATGAAAAACAACACTCTGCATAGGACAGCACCACCTATTGCTATTGCTCTATGTGTAATACTCAAATACATGGTGTTTTTCCCAGAACCTGTTGTCACCTCACCTACTCCTTTTAATCAACATTAGTTCAAGCAGCACCATCAATCACATCACTCCACTCCCTTGGCTGTCTTGGAAAAACGCAGACCCCAGCCAGTTAGCCATTCTTTGGTCTATACTTTAAGCTCTACCTCATGCAGAAAATCAAAAGTCACTTCAGTCTGTGTACCTGTATTTATGGAGGCCCTTGTCATTCCAGGAGCTGCAGAACTTCAGTCACAACAAGTCAGGTTGTAGATGGCAAAAATCAAAACTCCTCCAGGGTTTAGTTCTGGAGAAGTAAGGAAATCAATATCCTCCTGAATTAAATGAAACGAAGGCACTAAAAGCACTGCAAGGAACAACAACAAAAAAAAAAAAAAAAAAAAAAAGCAACCGAAACTTTGTAAAAGGAAAAAAAAAAAGAAAGCAGAACAAGAAATGTGTGAATAACATGAATATCTGTTGAAAGAAGCAAGAAAAGAACTTATCAGTCAACAAGGTTGTAGCCTGGAGGCTTACAAGAGCTGTAAAGCCTCCTAAGAATTAAAAACAATCAAGCTCCCAACAATAAAAATGTAATAAAAGTCTTTGAAGAGGCACTGTATGAAAATCTTGGCTTTGAGAAGAAATTGTACATCCAGGATTTAAACACCTTGACATCTGTCATTGTAGGCAAACCCACCAAAACTCACAATTAACGTTAAAACACAAAAAAAAAGTGTCAGGAGAAGACGTGAGTGACAGACTTAGTGCAGACTCTGATGTCCAAGAATGAAGCACTTTTCTTCGTCTTTTTGATTTGGCATTACCACTGACCTTCCTTTAGAGAAGTGATGTAAAAGGTGGGATGATACCACAACACCACTAGACAGCACAGGAGCACCGTGATAGATTTAGAAAGAAAACCACTGAACTTGAACTGATGGGTCAGCCAACACTTGAGCAACAACTGAAAAACTCTTCAGCACCACAAAAACTACAAAGGAATCTATGGTGAAAAATTGTTGTTTGCAGGGAAAGTGAAAAATCAGCAGTTCTTACTGGAATCTCAGCCTTGGAAGACAGAGGGGTACAGGACATGAATCAAGTCCTGCATTTCTGTACTAACATGAAATCCAGGGTGGCTGTTCAGAAAAAAATAATGTAGTGAGTTGTCCAGAGGGAGGCTGAATTTCCCACCTTAATTAAGATTTAATGATTAAAAGTCTTCTACTTAAGACTATGCAATAAATCTTCAGCTTAAGTGTTATTCCTATCTTTACCAGGTATAAATTAAATAAATTAATAACAGTTGCAGAGACTCATTGGAGAGTGGTAAATCTTTGTTGTTGAAGTTACCCAAAGTTACCCAGAAGAGAAGATAGAAATACCCCTGGTGGTAGGAGAAAAAAAACCTAGAGTACCTGTCCCTATAGAAGTGACCCATGGCATTTGAAAGAATCAGTCAGCTGAAATAACATTTGTCGAGTTTTCTGGCAATAGAAAGGGAACATTGTTATAGGACCTACCAACACAGAGCATGTGTCAAGAGCCGTGTAAAATAGGTCTTGATACAGGAATAGATACAGATTTGTTCAAGCTCTTTGGGATTTTTAAGAGCAAAAAAGCTGTTCAAGAACTAAGGATTATTTTCAGTAAGTAAAAGTACAGTATAAATGTTTTATTAAAATCAGAATTGCCGCCTTTGGAGGTAAAAACTCAGCAGAACAAATGTAACTTAGAGAAGCTGATGATAGTGAGATATTACAATGATTTCTTGCTTTGTGAAGTGACCATCTGTTCCCAAAATTAGATTCTTTGTTCTTAAAGCAGCGACAAAAAATCACAGACTTCTTGGCAGTAATGTGCAACTCCCTGTAATAATATGCAATAATTTTTTAAGTTAGCGTTTTTCTGCTAAACTAATGCTGATTTTTATCTTTCATGACTGACAATGAAAATAAGCACTCAGACAAAGATAAGTATGGTTTTTCTGAATGACAGTCTAAACAACTTCTAAAACTTCTAAGTATCTGCTCTGCTAACACTGATTCTATGAAATCATGCCCTGATTTCTCTGTGGTGGAGTTTTGATCAGTAGTTAGGAAAGAGTCTCCCAGAGGCAGAATAGTAAGGAAAGCAGATTTGCAGAACACTTTCAGTGCTTGGTCATATAACCTGCTTCCCACTCTTGCAAATTTAAAATACCTCTACAGGGCCATCACACTGCACTGGCTTCACACAGCAAGTGGATTTTATGCTGCCTACAGGGACCACATTATTTTGTGCACATAGGGTGTAAATGGCTCCGAAATCTGTTATCTTGCACTGGAATATATGCAGCACCAATTATGTAAGAGGGACCAAACTAATTTTTAAGCGCTTAAAGAAATTTCACTTGCTTTCATGAAATGCACACTTCTTAGGACCTCAAAGCTGTACTTAGTCAGTTCTAAACACAAGCTAAATTATACTTCAAGGAAGTGATTCATTATAGGCATTTTTATTCAGAGCCTCATTACTTCTGGTATCTGAGTAACTTTCTTGTTGATAAATTGACACAGTTTTCACTTTTTTTCCTCACTTTGCTTCTTATCTTTAAAGATCAGCAACAACTAATCATAGCAACTATGGATTTCGTACGCACATCATTTCCTATTAAAGGAAATGCAGTGTATTACACGTGAGTCACTACAAAATGAAAAGTTTTCATTATCTGTTCTTTTGAATAAAATTGATATTCATGGTACCGTGCTGCTGA